CAACTTGTAAATGCGATTTTTAAAAAATGATTTATTTTTAGAGGCGAAGAACTCAACTAGTGCTTGGTTGACATCAGCTTCAGTGTTGAATTTTTTTTCCTGTAAAAAGTTTTGCAAAGAGAGAAACAAGTGATGATCGGAGGGTGCTAGGTCTGGGGAGTATGGTGGATGCGACAGAATTTCCCAGCCTAGCTCTGCGATTTTCTGACGAGTCGCCAAAGCAGCATGTGGTCTGGCATTATCATCGGTAGCCATGTTTTCACGATCGCGTCTCACTTAATAATGACACGAGACATCTTTGTTTCAGTTTATTTAGGAGAGTACATGTGTGTAAATGCAATGATAAAGAGATATAGTCACACATGTCTCAAATCAACATGTGCATATGGATTGAAACTTGAAGCGACACTATCGGACAGAACTTTCCGGTAGACCTAATATTTCCATGAGATTTGTTACTTATTAATAGGACAGACGAAGCACGCTGCGTGGATCCCACGGCCGGAAGACCCGGCTGGTAAACGCGGTTGCTGCAGAAATCTGTACAAAATACCGAGGAATCTGTAGCCGCGCGGAAAGTTGCATGTCCGATGCATCAAGTAAGAAAGTTTTCGGTGAGCCTGTTGTGTTTCCGTTCGTGCCCGTCTAACCGAAAGCTTTCAACAAGTTGATACTGCTTCCGTTATTGTAGCGTTGCCCGAACAAGACCGCCGAGTAAATAAACTTTTCTGTTGCCTTCAGCGCAATCAGTCGCCCCTCGAAATTTTCGCCTGTCGACATTTCGGTGCTCATTAATCCCATTATAACGTCAACGTTTTGCATCGTCTTCCGACTGCAACGTCTTCGTTATTACAAAATTTCATCGGACGCTGCTTCATCGTTTTAGGAAAAACGCGAGTTCGAGGAATTATAGGGAATGGAGTAGGATATAGCCGAGATTTGTTGGATTTTATTAATTTGATTTATGCTTGTTGAATTTTCTAAATGGCTGTACAAAATTTATATAATACTGTAGGAATTATTTTAGGAAATTTTACGAGGTGGGAAAATGAAACAAAACACACAATTTGAATAACCAATAACAATAACAGATTATTAACAAAAATAATAACCAGTCTCTACAAAACGTAACAACTTCTCACGAATAACAACGACGATAATAATAATAATAACGGCTTGACTGTGACTATGACTTCGACAAAGACAACAACGACTACAACTTCGACACGTACGACATTTGCAATCTGCTCTTCCACCGAAAACAATCTTTTCCGTCGTTACTTCCTTCTCTTTCCTTCATTATCTTATCATTCTCTCTCTCTCTCTCTCTCTCTCTCTCTCTTTCTCTCTCTTGCGCACACTCTGTCACACTCTGTCTCACTCGCTGTGTCTTCCCCATTCTCTCCCTTTCTCACTCTCTCACACTCTACCTTTCGGCTACGTAGGACTTCGAGGAACCTCAGATCACTCGAAGTTGCCCAAACACTCTGCAAACATCCGTCCCATTCATTCAATATCTTACGACACTCTTGATTATTCTGCCATTCTGCCATTTCTGCCTTTCATAGCCGGGAAAACCCTACAATGCCGAACAAGCAAATATCGATCTCGAGATGTAAATTAATAACGAAAAATTCAGTTTACTTTTACACATGCGTTGGTATTTATGTTGACACGTAAGGTTCTATTATGAATGATCAAAAATAAAGTTAATCACATAAATGTAAGAGCTTATTTATTCCGTAAATGTGTTTATTAAAGTTTAACAAGTAGAAGAAAATACATGAAATGCGAACTAATTCTTATACAGGGTGTCCCAGGTTTTAATGTTCAAACTTTGTCAGTATATTCTATGGCACAAAATAAGAAAAAAATGTTATGTAAACATAGGTCATATAGAGCTTTATTAAGAAGTTATAATAAAAATTCGTTGAATGAAATGAAAGAGAATAGAAACTCGCACGGTCATAAATTCGATCTTCGATCGATGTCAATCATGTATTGTCAACAACGGTAGACATTTCGAAATGTATTAATAAACACAGCTTACATAAACACACGGCATGTGCTGATCTATTCAAGCCAATGCTCGCAGTAACAGCAAGTCGATTACTATTCCTACTCTGAATTTTTGTTATAACTTCTTAATAAAGCTCTGTATGACCTATGTTTACATAACATTTTTTTCTTACTTTGTGCCATAGAATACACTGACAAAGTTTGAACATTAAAACCTGGGACACCCTGTATATATACAAGATTATGCAAAGAAGCAAAATGTTTAATGTAACTGAAGACTGAAAGTATGTTGACATTGTAATTTAATGCACATTTTACATTATTGTAAACTTTTTAGTATGAAGTTTAATATCCTTTGGCTCTTATCACTTCTAAATGGTAACTTGGCATACTTCTTATTCATTTTGTCTTCAATGCTTCTATAAATTCTGATTTTGTGTATCTTTCAGTGACAGTTATATATACATATATTCGACGATCTAATTTCTTCCACAAATACTCGAAGCAAATTTATATTATTGGTTTTAAAAAATTCTTTTGCAACCCTTGAGGTCTGCTTTGGGTCGTTGTCTTACCGAAAGACGAACGATTTCTTCCACATTTATGCATCGAAGAAAATAAATTCTCTTGCAATAATTCAACATACTTGTTATTATTGACAAATTTTTTAATATTTGCTAAATTTCAATTATTGCTAAATTTCCAATTCGAGCAAATTAAAACACTCGTATCATAATGGAGCAATGTCCATGTTTCACGGTTGGCGTCATAAGAGTTGGTTTAACCCGAGAAAGATAACCTACGTCGCAGAGGCGCCTGCGAAGACTGTTGATTTTTGTTAATTTTTCATAGAGGTCTAGTGATTTAAGTTTAAAATTACTTAAAATATAAAAAAATATAATATAAATGCATTTTATTTTTACAATAATGCCAAACCTTTAAAATGACTAGATTAACTTAAATAAATATCCATTGTTAGTATAAAATTGACGCCTTAGAAAAGCATGCGCCTCTGAAGCGTATGGTTATCTTTTACGTACGTTGTCATATGGTTATCTTTCTAGGGTTAAACGTATCTCCTACTTTTCTCCATACATATTGTCTTCTTTTACTTGACTTCGTTTCAAATTTCGATTCATCACTCCACATAACTGTTTCCCAGAACAAAATTGACTGAGCAAATCTTAAACGCATTCGGAGCATCGACTTTCGAAATATATGGCCTTTTTCGTGACGTATGGCCATGCAAATTGCCTTCATTTATACGAAACTTTATTTGCGTAATTCTAATGGGCACACATAAATCTTCTTTCAATTCATTGGCACTAAGAAATTGCTTTTTGTTTTTAACTTCTCGAACTATTTGTCTCTCTTGACAGATGGTTGTATTCTCTTTCTTGCAGTTCTAGTTAAATTGTTATAATCTAGTTAAATCTTCCAGTAATATTTATTTTTTGAAATATTTTTCTTACTCCTTCTCTTGAAATGCTGAAGTCCCTAGCAATTCTTTTTCAAAGATTCGCCATTTGCTCGACGATTATAAAGTACTCGTTCTGTTGCACTCAATTCTGCAACTTTTTACATTTTGTGAAAAATTGCCTATTGTAATATAAAATATATTATTTAATCACAATATATTATTTAATAATATAAAAATATTATATATTATTTAATGTTTTCTAGATACAAAGACATACAAATAACTAACTACAAATCTAACATTCTAATAAAAAAATAAAGTTTAATACATATCATCTTACTTTCCGACGGTAGAACAATTCAAGAATTATACTTTTAATTGAAAAATCTAGAGTAATATTAATATCTCGGCTTCTCCTTCGATACTGATGCATTATCGATGCGAGGGAAACAATAAATGACACATTTCAAACAAAAGAGAGATACACGACAGAGATATGTAAGAATACTTAAAAATTGAAGGTGTCAACATAAATATCGACGCGAGTATGTATATGTGAAGTGAAAGTTCCGTAGTGCCAGTGCGGTTGTTTGGACCAAGATCTAAATCACGTCATAGAATAGATGCTTTTTAAATTTCTCTTTATAAATAAACTATGACTTTTTGTGCAAAACAAAAGTTTTTGCATTAGTTACAAAATACCGAATCTGCTGATTCTCGAATTCCATAACGTTGCAGTTATATTGAATCCGAAATGCTCATTTTTGCTACAAGTGCATCAAATTCGCAGCATAAAACTCGTAAAATGTTCTTGTTGAGAACCGGTAAAATGTCAAGAATAAATAATTAATAAATAAATAATTCATAAGTAATTATCAAGATTTTAATTTTCATTATGAACTCAGATAAAAAGGTTAAAAAACATAAGTTTTTTATTTCTTTTTTGTGATTCCAAGTAATAGCAAAATTGAAAAAACCATTATAGTCATTGTCTAGTAGATTAGTCCCACTATCATTTAAACAAAATTCGAGTCGTTTGGTCCAAGTTTTAAAGAAGATGCTGCGTTTTAAAGAGCGTCCGAATAAATTTGTCCGCTACTGTATATTTGAAGCATAAAAGTCTGGCTCGAACCAATAAAGTGCAATGTTACCGAATTTCGCAGAAAATTTTGAGCAGTCCGACAAGGATTAATTACCTACGGAGTATAATGCATGAAGCCTATAGTCTGCGCCTGAAAAGAGGGAGCCAAGGACAGCAGAGCCTAACTATCGGCACGTTCGCGAGATGGACCGAGCGGTGCGGTCTGAAGAAAAGTTTTCAGTCGAAGGGGTTAATTAAACCCATTCAGGGACACATCGTTAACGGCTGGCAGCCTAACCGATGTCTACTGGATGGCTCGGCTATTGTGTCCCGGTTTGACAGAGAAAAGAACTCTCCTATCAAGATCAGGAACAATGGCGTACTTTCCATGCCGTGTTGATTCGGATCAACGCTGATGCACTGAATGAACCGGTCGAGCCCGCTCCCCCTTTAATCTCCTTAAATCACATTCAGGCTAACCTCGTGCTCTGCCAATTGCGTCGACATCTGCACAGTGGCGTTATAGCGATACTTCTTCACGTAATCGCGCATGTCGGCCGGATTCGGTGGCAAATCCACGTCCAGGCTCGGCTCCGTCACTGAAAAGACGCATTGCTTGCCGAACTCTGTCCGCCTCTTCACGTAAACCTTCTTGGTCTCCATCCTTTTCCTGATCTTGATCCGGAAAACTCTGGATCAAACCATCAATTTTTGTGAATTTCCTTTCCTCAACCGCCCTACGGTATTTGCAGAAACTAACGCTACTGAGATACCGCAGTGTCCTCTCCATAACTGTCGCAATACCGGATCTGTCGAGTTATGATAGAGGCACTACAGTGTTCTCTGGCAATTATGCATGAAAGGTAACATCCCTTCAATTTTCAAATATCTTTAACATCTTGGAAAACTTAACATTTCAAACAACTTTTACTTACAGGTAGTAGCGTCGTTTGGGTTTATTTTAGGAGATACAAACTATTGAATTCTCCATAATAGTCTCGTAGCTTGGAATTGAAAATGGACAATTTAGGTAAACCGGATACGATTCTTCGAGCCTCGCGGCTTGCCTTTGTAGTTGCCGAGATTTTTTGTGAGAGAGAAATGAGAGAGAGAGAGAGAGAGAACAAAAATTGGGGCAGTCAGCAAACTTAAAAATCAGTCATATTGGTAAGATTCTTCTAATTAAAATGAGATCAAACACAACATGCTTTAGACTATATTTATTCAATTACATACATGAGCCGTTTATTTTGAAAGTGGCATAAGTCACTTTTTCAACAAAATCGAGTTAATGGTAACATTAATTACAATTGAACGGTATCTTTTCATTTTAAAAAAATTTGCAATCAATAAGTTGAGAACTATTGAGATTTGTTCGAGAGAAGTTTTGCTAATTAACGGTATAACAAACATGTTTATTTTAAAAGTGGCGTAAGTCGCTGTACTCAGGAAATTAATTGCGGGCTTAGTGTAAAAGAAATAGAAACGTGTGATAAGTGTGTGTGAAGTATTGTTTTGAATTATTTTCAGTATTTTTAAAAATGTTGTGATCACTGGACTTATTTTTATAAGTGCGAAAGAGAATAGTGCAGTTTTGTAAATTATATTATAGTGATGTGGCGGCTACCTCCAGACCCGCCAGCAGATGGCTATAAAATGTTTTATAAACTAACTTTAGATAAAAAAGATGAATCTCTAAGTTCGGATTTGTCACCAAAAAGAGGAAGACCTAGGCGTTATTCACAAATAGAAATGGATCCGTTATACGCTGGATCTCGTCCTGTTTCTTCAGCAAAATACAAAGACATGATGGACTTGCTTAATTATATACCCCCAATATACCACAGTTATTTAAAAAATTTGAAACAAAACACGATTTCTGAGGTCTTAATCACTCCTATTGATGACGAAAATTAAATTGAACTGATGTATTTTCATATAAATTACTTATACTTATGTTTCAAAATGTACTAATTATTTTTCTATTTTATGAATATTAAAATAAAAAATACTTAAATCAAACCTTTATATTAAATATGTCCATGGTATAAATTATTATTATATATGTAATTTATTCAACAATTTTAGTAAATCACTGTCCTTTCAAAACATCACTTCGGTAAAATACGCCGGACAAAATTAATATATGTCAATCATTTTTCTAAACTATTTATTTTGAAAGTGGCTCAAGTCACTTTACCGTAATGAAAAGTGATGATTTTTTAATGTTTATACGAAATTATTTATACTGAGAAAAATATCAGTATCCTGAGAAAACAAATACAAATAAGTCTTCTCGAAAGTTAGCATCCATATTATTAAACGTGTTAAAACGCAAACCCTTAGATATATCGACTTAAAAACAAAGTGACTTATGCCACTTTCAAAATAAACGGCTCACATCGTAATTGATTTTATTTTATATAATCAGAAATATTTATCCAAACTATATCATGTTTGGTCTTATTTGAATCAGAAAACTATCAGCAATATGTTATAAGGAAATTCAGTTTAAAAATGTTAAAATTAAAAAAGTTATGTTATTGTATTACGAGTTGTCATTCAGGGAATTTTAGTCAAAGGAGCCATATCGCGTGCCGCATTATACGCTTGACCGACTCCATCGAACCTTAGCATAGGCGTGGAATAATGCACATAGGCGTTTGGAATAGTAAAGGGACAATGTAAGCAGGCTTATTACAGGGACAATTGGGGAGAATTTACTGTATATTGAAACGTCAGAAGTGTTGAAATAAATATTGAAGAACTAATCCAAACCTGACACATTAGCGACATCTATTTCTCGAGCGTTAAGTGTAAATTAAGTCTGGGTTATGTCTGATTTAAGTCTTCAATATTTGTTTCAGAAAGTTCGCACATTATACAGAGTGTCCCATAATTACGCTAACACCTGGAATGGGGTGATTCTTGAATCTCGTCTCTCATTGGTCATTGTTTTCCATTAGTAACTCTTAAACAAAGCCGCGGATTGCATTTTCGCTAAGGAAAAAGTTACTTCAAATGACCTCAAGAATCACTCCTTTTCGGGTATTAACATAATTATGGAACACCATGTATACATACGTATATATAAATTACTTAACCAGACGTAATCCAGACTCATCGAGAATTAATATAAAAATACGAAAGAGAGGAAAAATTTATTTGCATGATTCAATAAATTATATTTCAATAAGATCGTAATTATAAAAGCTACATAAGCCTAATACACAGTTTGGAGCCTATGAAAACATCGTAGAAAGGTTAAATTGAAATCGGAAACCTATTATTATCCTGTTTGATTTTATGGAAATTAATTAATTAGTCTGTTTACCTTTAAAAATTATTTGCTCTTTAATTGGAAAAGTTCTAGACTCTGCTACGTAAGATTAACATACCAGCCTAAATGACTGGTTCCTGATTTGTTCCATCATAGTTACTGAAAAGGTAAAAATGATTCTATGAGAAATTTTAAGATGAAGTGAATAAATGCAATTTCTCTATGAAGCAATATAACATTAGTCGCATTTAGAGTTTGGTAGTTCTACTGTTAATTTTGAATACGTTGACTACAGTATCATCCATATGTCCAATAATTTATCTTAATTCTTCAAGAATTAATTATAGCTTTGTTGAATTGACTGCTCAAAACCTCGGCGATCGTTAACTTCTTTGCACGTAAATTGGAGTACTTAGTTTGCTAACAACTTTTTAGAAAATTTGATCCAACTTGGAAGAAGAAACTTTTTAAGTTGAGTTCTCTGAGTTCTCTGAATATCGTGAATCTTCAAATTTCCATGTTTATCGTCTACATTTCACAACTGCCTTTTTTAATCAAATTTCACAAGGGAGTCGGTTTTAATCTACTGTTGCATAATTTAACGAGTAAGTTGGAAAGCTGCGAGGCATACGGAGAATCGTCTCGGTAGCCGGGGGATAAAGAAATTTTCGTGATCCTTTTCCCCCTTTATCAAAGATTGATAATCCCCGTGTTTACGAGGTTCGCACCGATTTACGGAGTGCAAAAGGGGAGAAAGCGAGCGCTGGAACATTCATGAATTCATCGAGGAGCGAATAAAGTTTCTTGTAATGTAAAGTTACCTTGTAAATTTACCTTGTTTCGGCAAACACCCGGCAAGTCTGTTAAAGATTCACGGCGAATTCGCTTTGACGTTTCTCCTTTCTTATGGAGTTTCTCTCTTTACGCATGATTCGGTCGCGAATTCGACTGGGATGCTCCATGATCGTCAGAACAGTCGCTAAAAATCATTTCCTATGATTATTTGTCAATTTAAGATGAGAACCGAAGTTACAGAATTTTTTCATACATACACATACCGACAACAATTAAGAAACTGCTGAGTAAAATTTGATATTTTAGCAAATGTAAGTCTTATTAAATTAATAGTACACATCATGGTGAAGCATATAACACATTGCTCGTATTGCAATATTGTTTTACTAACTGTAAACGACAAATAAAAAGCGTGAAGTGAAAATAAAACAAAAAGAAAGTACAAAATACAAAAAGAAAAGAAAAATTAAAAATTAAAAAATTATATAAAGTAAAATATTAAAAAGTTAGATAAAACAATACAAATTTGTTATCCTTTGTTAAGTAGGTTTACTGTACTCAAGAATATGTATGTGCTGTCTCTTATACACATCTAGATGTGTATAAGAGACAGGTATCTATGTGCTCATAAGTATATTTATTCCAGATGAAAATAAAGGAATATATTTCTTTACATAAGAAGATGCTTTATTATATGGCAACGAGAGATGAAGATCTTTATTCAATTTGGTCAAACATTTTATTGTACTTGATTTAAGAAAATTAAATAACGATATGAATGAATGATGCCTTCTGTTTAATCGCTGTCTCTTATACACATCTAGATGTGTATAAGAGACAGGTATCTATGTGCTCATAAGTATATTTATTCCAGATGAAAATAAAGGAATATATTTCTTTACATAAGAAGATGCTTTATTATATGGCAACGAGAGATGAAGATCTTTATTCAATTTGGTCAAACATTTTATTGTACTTGATTTAAGAAAATTAAATAACGATATGAATGAATGATGCCTTCTGTTTAATCGCTGTCTCTTATACACATCTAGATGTGTATAAGAGACAGGTATCTATGTGCTCATAAGTATATTTATTCCAGATGAAAATAAAGGAATATATTTCTTTACATAAGAAGATGCTTTATTATATGGCAACGAGAGATGAAGATCTTTATTCAATTTGGTCAAACATTTTATTGTACTTGATTTAAGAAAATTAAATAACGATATGAATGAATGATGCCTTCTGTTTAATCGCTGTCTCTTATACACATCTAGATGTGTATAAGAGACAGGTATCTATGTGCTCATAAGTATATTTATTCCAGATGAAAATAAAGGAATATATTTCTTTACATAAGAAGATGCTTTATTATATGGCAACGAGAGATGAAGATCTTTATTCAATTTGGTCAAACATTTTATTGTACTTGATTTAAGAAAATTAAATAACGATATGAATGAATGATGCCTTCTGTTTAATCGCTGTCTCTTATACACATCTAGATGTGTATAAGAGACAGGTATCTATGTGCTCATAAGTATATTTATTCCAGATGAAAATAAAGGAATATATTTCTTTACATAAGAAGATGCTTTATTATATG